GTGCGCTCGCATTTGCGTGTTTCGGACGTGTGCAAAACAATTTTTGTTTGTGCTGTTTCATAATTGCTATCATTGGATTGCGACCGTTTCACCTTTCTTTCCTAAGTGGACACATAATAAGCGATGGCCAGTTAATCAAATCGCTTTTCTATCCGAACTAATTTTTTATGCAGCGTTATTCTCGCGTGTGGCACGCAACATTTGCAAATTAGCAACGAAATTCGGCAGCAATTTCACGTTAGTCATTATGTAATAAATGAACAGATTTGCTTATCTTTGATAGCCGGAAGAAAAATTAGTTTTTATTATGTAATTGATTTTGTTAGCACGAACTGCAACGAATTGTTGTAGAGAAGAAGAGTCTTGTTTGTTGTGTCTTGCTTTTGTTCATCTAACGGTTGTTTTAACAACCAAAAATGAATCGATATAGATGGAGCGTTAAATATAAAGTTTTATGTCAAGTTTATCAGGCTGATGAGAAAAGCGGATTTCCAGATATCTGTCTGTCCGTCAATCCAGATTCCTTTATGAATCTTGGTACAAATGTTCCTTGAGGAGCTTGGGATTTGCTGATGACTCGGGCTATTGCCATGACCACCAAATGTAGCAAATCGAAAAAATCTGAACAAAATTTGATTTTGGTACAGAGAATCACATCAGGTAAGAGCATCTGTTGTTACACAATTTTGAAAAAGAAGCGGGGTTAAGAGTCCTGCAGTAAAAGATATTATACCGTCTATCAAGTTTTAGTGCTGAAAACGGGAGAAATCCATCTGTGAATCATCTCAGCCTCCATATATATATTATAATTGTTTTCGTTATTAGTTTGATTTTATCCTGAATCGCTTAGAAATATTTACTCCACCGAGGTCAAGCTATGGATCACACGTGGACAAGTAAGAGTTCAAGAGAAACAAAGTTCTTCGAAAATTTGGTGGAGGTTTTTCACTTCATACTTACTTTTTGGCAGCAATAGTGAGAAGTCCTATAGGGGTTACCGCAATGGTCAATTGGTTATGACAACACTTCCCATCCTTTATCGATATGAATTCTATACGAAGTTGATGATGGCCTGGTCTAAAAACTCATACCCAACCGCGATGGTTGAAGATAGTTTGGTACCCACTCCATTGACTTAAATTTTTCCAGTACATGTCATAAGGAAATATGCAGTGTTATGAAGCTTTTCACTGCATCCAATATATTTAAATTAGCAACAACCGTCCGGTACCAGTGTGCCATTTACTAAGTCTAATAGAACAAGTGATGGCTTCGCAATTAATTTGAGAAAACAATTTAATTTCCGTACTGTAGCGAAGAATTTGCATCGACGACCAGGATTCTAAGGGGCTGCGATGCGCCTAAAAATATTCCACATAATTTATGAACTCCAACATACTCACGAACACCTGCACACCCCAACAAACACACACACACACACACACATGAACCGGGAGCGAACAACTTTGCAAAGATCACATCGACGAGAAGCAATAAGCGGAGTAATTGCGGTGAAGGTGGTACCGTATGAATTTCAGTTAAAACACCACAGCGTTGAGTGCACTTCAAGTGCGCATATACACGCCTGAGTGTGCGTGTGCGCGTGCGTAAGTATGGCTGTGCTGTGGGTGCCACTAAAACTATATGCTTTAGTTGGTGAACTTGTGGCTGCAGCAACAAGAGGCAACAACAAAAAAAAAATCGCACCAATGCAAAATGTGGCGTTGCAAGTAAGTGCCGTTACGAATAACGGAAGTGAGAACTTGAAGAGCAGGGCAAGTGGCCTGAATTGTGCTCAACGTTGCACACAATCGCCAACGGAATGCGCACACAGCTGAGTATTGTAAACAATGGTAATATTGTTGCAACACCCTCATGTGGCACAGCTGAGCATTACGTTGCTGCGGTTTGGCGTCTAATGCTTTCGTCTGTGGGCAAAAACAAAATAGTAACAACAAAAACACATACCGTTAGCCATTTGGCCGCTGCAATGTCGGTGCACGTACCAAAAGCCCAGCTGCAAAGCGACGCGTACGTGTCTGTCTGTATGTATGGGTGTTTGTATAGCTGTGTGCATGTATGTGTGTGTCATATCTTTATTCCCCATACATCGCATAGGTGCATATATTGCCGTAAGAAATATTTAATATGAGTCTGTGAGCGCAATTTAGTTGCGCGTTTGTATGCGTGTCTGTGTGTGTGTTTTGCGCTTCGAATTTAATCTTGGCTTATTTTTTGAATAATAAATTTCATATGTAAATAAGAGGTTATGTGCGCTTGCAACGAACATGCCGCCTTCCCTATTGAGTGTCAACATTTTCGCTGTTTCCTAAAGCCAACAACAACGTTAAGAACAACAGCTTTGCGGCATGTTGTTGCGGTGCGACTTTGCGGGCCATAGGAGCAACATAATGACGCTTGCTGCAGCAGAGAACCTTAAATAAACAATGCAAGTATTGTTGTGCAACAAGCACTCAAGCATTGCAACGTACATACACTCACACACAAGCACATCCACACAAATACACACAAATAAGCGCGCATTCACCATGCACAGCTGCCCATTTACCGTTTAAACGGCCGAGTTGCTGCAAAAAGCAATACCACATATTTGCTTCGTTCGTCCGCCTCCCTCTTCCCTGCAATGTGTTGCCGGCCTTTCAAACTCAGACTCAATTTCATTTACATACATTTTTATTTAGCGAAAGCTGTGTGGAAGATTGTGGCATAGCTATTTCGATGCCACACCTCTTCATACGTTCCAGTTAGTGTGCAATGAAATGGGGCAATTACGTCCTAACGGCAAACATCTAAAGTATAATATTTACATAAACATTTTTATTTGTCCGTCTAGTTTGGAAATACTGCACCGAGATGCAGTTATAAAAGTGGGTGCCAGCCGACTTATGCTTCGGCAGTGGTTGCAAATTAAGCGTAAGTTTTAGTTAACTATGCATATGGACAGCGTTAGAGGCTGATAATTAGACCGATCTTCAAATTTTTATTTTCGATTTTGTATTTTTTGCGACCGGAAACAGGCTTTTTTTTAAAAACTAGTTCTAATATCTTTTAAAAAGAGTGTAATTTAATTTTGATTGGTGATAAATCTGTTAACAGTTCGCAAGAATTTTTAGGTATGGTACATATCTACCTGGGGAGCACAAATGAGTACAAATTTGTGCATTGTGTATTCCTTTCTGCATAAGAATAGTAGTAGAAAAGAAAATTTAAAAATATGTTTCTTTAGTTCCTGTTCAATTAAAAAAAAAATTGTTAATAATACATGAAAGAAAATAACGAATTCTAAGGAGAGAAGGAAATAACACTTAAACAACTCGCACGTACTCAATTTTGCACCTTACAGGCATTTTCAGAAAATCAATAATTTCACAAAACACTTTTTTACATGGTTTGGCATATTTTCCACTAAATGCTGTATAATTTCATTTGGAATGCTATACCATTCCCGCTGCCAAAGCTCATCCAGATTCATTGAAGTCGATCGGTATTTTCCTAAACTTCTTTTCCCGATTGACCTCAAATTCTAAATCGGATTGAAATTAGAACTTTGGTTTGCCCACTGCTTCAGTAAGAAATTTTGTACGGCAAGCCATTACTTCACGATGTTGGAGGTATGGTTTGGGTCTCCATCCTATTAAAATTTGTGTACTTAAGTGTTTCATTAACATGTTTCCTTTAGATGATCTCCACAAGGCGTTGCTAGCAATAATGTTGGCCATAGGACTTAAAACGATTAAATTTTGATTCGTCTTACCAGATTACAAGCTTCCAATCATCTGCTGTTCAATTCCAAGTTCTCTGGCGAACTTCAACCGTGACTTAACATTTTTTACTGACAATGCAAATTTTTGTTTTTTTACTGCTGCCCAGTAGGCAATGTCGCGAAACGCTCTGCTTGCAGTCCATCTACTAATAGGCTTATATATATATATATATTCTATAAATGCGTTCTTTGGTATCAAGTGCTTGTTCCTTTTCATATGTCTTATCATGAAAAGTGCGTCTGCATCCGTCAAAAATATTTTGCGGCCAATGACTTGTGATTTGGGGACAATAGGTCACTTTTCTGAACTCTTATGACCACTGATGGACTTATATCATCCTCTTTAGCTATCGTTCATGTGAAAGATCTCGCTCTTGTCAAGGCTATAATACTTTCTTTAATGCGTGGTGATAGCTTCCTAATTCTTTTAAAGAGCTATGAAGGTTATGTAGTAATTATTAAAAAAATAGTTTTTTATTTATCAAAAATTTTCTTACCAGCACCAATATAGCACAATATCAGTTAAATGTCAAGAATAATGCAAACATATTATATGACAAACTTTGATATATTTTGTTGAAAACGTGACGGGCGTGTTGTTTCAGTTTTATTAGTTTTTTCCTAAGAATTCTTTATTTTCTTTCATGTATGATTAACAATTTGGTAAATATTTGAACATGAACTAAGGGGAAAAATATATTTTAAAATTTTCTTTGCTACTACTATTCTTATGCCATGTCTCGCCATTTCGTAATGAACAGACTTACTCCGGAACAACTTTTGCAAATCGTGTAAATTTATTACTAAAATAATGCTTCGGTTGGGGCGGCTCATTGTCCACTATTCGGCCAAACATAATCGCCAAAAAAAGTCAGTGGATCGGTTTGTCACCACGTTTGCTCTAAAGGAAAAAAAATGAGCCGTAGAGCCCAGAGATGCCGTACAGAGACCATCGTTATTGCTGTTTTGAAGCACAGTATTGTATCGAGAAAGACTCGAATGAGTTCATCTGCCATCGTGCTTAACAATTCGAGCTGTGACCATCCACTTTATGGGAATTTTTGCGGAACGATCTTGGCTTGCGTGCTTACAAAATCCAACTCGTATAAGAGTTAAAGCATGCAGCGCGTCGCACGTTCCGTGAGAGAGTATAAAACGTGATGGCCACCGATCTCGATTTCAATTGGGATGCTGATAGCTCACAAGCTATAAAGTCACCGTTGGGTGTGCTCTATGGTTAGAGTGTCCATTTTTTTTTCCAAAACTGAAACCGCTAGAGAGCCATGATTAACGATGTTTTCGTGCTTGAATTGGAGGATGTTTATGTGGATGACCTTTAGTTCCAATAAGACGGCGCTATATATCACAGAGCCAACGAAAAAATCAATTTATTGAAGGACACTTTTGGACAGCGTATTATCTAACGTCGTGATCCTGCAGTGTGGAATCAATAATCGTACGAATTAATACCGTTTTCTTTTATACCATTATGTGAAGTAGCTTGTTTACGCAGATAAGCTTAAGACGATCCGATGACTATGAAACTGGATTTTCTCTCTCTCTATTCTCTGGACTGGAAGCTTGCAGCCTTTATTGTTTCAGTTGATCTCTCAACTTAGTTTATAAATAAACTAATCTAAATCAAACTGCTATATGTAAATATATGTGAGAGAATACTTTATGAGGCATGGTGCTAACTATTGTTGAAAGACGCAGAGTGAATATCAAAATACTGACAAAGCATATCTTCTCTTCATATTTAATTTGCTTATTGTACGTATGAAGGAGAAGACCAAAATTATAGCGAAATTGTTTGGTAAAAAGTTTTACATAAAAAATCTTAATTATTAACAGCGCAACACTATTTATATAAAGAAGCTTAGTCCAGCCTCATATTTGTTCCTTATTTTGAAGTATATTATCATTTTTAAAGCACTATAGAATATGCCTTAAAAAGAAAAATTATAGCAAGTAATTTCTTCTTCATAATAACGACAACTTTCTTTTTCCTAATTATAATTGAGATTGTTCTCTAAAGATTCGAAGCATGAATTTCGTACTTCTTTTGAAAACTCGTTTTAATAATGCCATATATAGCATGCATACCTGATGCTTGCAGATGCATTCTCTTTTCGTTGTACCTATACAAATTACGACTGCTATCGGTGAAATGGCTCATCTTTCCTTTCGATCAACTTTTTTCTAGATTCCGTGGTAATCCTTGCTTTCTTTTCACCTCATGACTTCTACCACTGAAAGGTACCTTTTATTGCAAATAAAGTGGTAATGCACATATACCGGTTACAAAATAGTTTTATTTTATTTTCTTTATACTTTTTTTTTGTTGGAAAGTGTCAGATTTACAGCACAACTTTTTACTCTTCACTCCGCCTTCATTGAGCGCCGTGAGCGCAGCTGCATTGCAGTGGTTACCCGGTGCTTGAACTGCAATATTTTGTATCAAATTGAAGGAACACATGTATACAGCTGTTTGAACATCCATACATTCGCACAATTACTGAGGTGTAAAGTTCTCTTCCGTTCAGAGTGTTCATCAAAGATGATGAATGGTTGGAAGTGGCGCTTGCATTTATGGAACCATCACTCAGATGGAAGCTCAAATATTTGTGTGAGCGAGTGAGTGTGTGTGTAAAAGTTAATATTTATTTGAAAAATTTAAATTTGCTCATATATGTATGTATAACGTATGTGTGTTTGTTTGCTTTTATAGTTTACCGTCGAATTTTTCACTTAAAGTAATGCAGCTCGTTTAGTGAGTTTTCTTTTATTCGTTTTTATGCCCTGAACAAGGTATATTAAGTGCGCCAAGAAGTTTGTAACACCCAAAAGGAAAGGTCGGAGGCCTTTGCAGAAATATATAAATGATTAGCATGACTAGCTGAATCGATTTAGTCTTTAAGTTTATGAGATATCGACCTGAAATTTGCGCACTTTTTGGAATTACTATATCATTTACATATGTCACTATCATAAAAGCTGAACAATCAAAATCAAGTCCTTATATGAAAAACTTCTTGATTTGAAAACATATTTTCACGAAATTTGGTTGAGATACGTATTATCCATGGCAACGCTGCAATCTCCAAGCGTATGGTAGAGATCGGAGTCCTATAGCATATATCCATTCAAACTGACCGTTCAAAATCAACTTCACGTCTGGTAAACTATTTTATTTGTGAATGGTATTATAGCAACAGAAGTTAATGTTTTTGCTTCTTTTTTCTTATCTTTCTTTATTGCAACTTACAATAGTATTAGTTGTTGCCACCATGTGAACATGGGAGGGTGTTAATGAGTGTGCTGTGAACTTGTAAGTGCTGTAAACTTGCCAGCGGTTTAGCAAATATTTTCTACACGTCACGTTGTCTTTAAGAAATACGTTTGAATAGCAAATATTAATGAAGTTTTCTCATTTCTTTACAACATTGTTTTTTGAACATTTTTTCTTCATTGCTGCGCTAAAACCAATTTGCGATAGAAATAATTTTTTTTTCGTTTTTTCTGCAATTGGTGTCATAGGCAAAGTGATTTTTTATTTTTGTCCGTTTTAAAGTCAGCTCAAATTTAATAAATCTTAAGAAAATATTTATTAAAAATTTAGTTGTACGACAAAATTGTGAATATTAAAGGAACAATTTTAAATAAATACAATTTTGCATTTCAGAATTTTAATTTAAATTGACATTTGAGTCGTCTTGATAATGAATTACCACCAAAAATGTTACATGAATTTTAAATTTGCATTTACAACATATAGTAAACATATAAATATAGTTAAATTTATAAAGCACTTTACTCTTTATTCTTCGAGAGCTGCCAATTATTGCTATGTGTAAGAGCCTTTCGAAAAATCTTCCATAAAGGGGATGGGTACCGTTTCAATTGTGGCGCGCAATGGTGGATGAACTCATTCAGGTCTTCTTCGGTACTCTTCGGTGGGCTCTGTATGGCGTCTCTGAAGATGGGCAACATCCTCTGGATTAAACGTGGTGCAAAGCAGATCCATAGGTTGCTTGCACTACCGACTTCTTTGGGCGATTATGGTGACCGAATATTGGGCAATGCGCCGCCCTAAGCGAACCATTATTTTGATAATAAATTTGCACGATTTGCAAACGTTGTTTCGGAGTAAGTCTGTTCATAACGAAATGCTAAACTAAACTGAGTATAAATCGAGTGACAGCTGTCAAAAAGACAAACTCTGAAAAAAATATGGCCTCATTGAAAACCACACGTCTAAAAAAACAGCCACTAGTAAAAGTCATCAGTGGGCATTTTATCTGGAAAATCGAATCAAATATCGAATAAAAATGGCACATCTCAAGATATGCGATGAAACCGACTTATTGCATTAAAATATCTTCCATGCAGCCTATACTTCCAATGTAAAAGAAATTATACTGCTAGAATGAAAGTATTATATTATATAATTGACTCAAAAAGTTTGTTTGTCTCACTAAAGAGTACATAGGAGTGTTGGCATGCATGTACTCTCGAAACGTGTTGTAATATAGTGTATAATATTTTTGTTTGCCTAACGGTTGTTTTTGTCACCTAAAAATAATCGATATCGATATAGGATGGTTAAGAGTTGAATTTCATTGGACTGGTAATATGGTACCGGGACGGTATGAAAATGCACCTGTGACTTAAAATTAAAAAATCCTTATAGGCTTGAAATATGAATCTCACAAATCACTTTAGCTAAATTGACCAAACTTGCTAACTTGTCTGTATCCTTACTTTGACTTTCTTATGTAACATTGTGAAAATGTCGGAAAGCAAATTAGAAGCACGCCTGAATCCGATAAATTGAAACTTTAAATTTCATATGATTTTTTTCACTGGTTAAAGGTATGCTATTTCTCTATGGTTGAAATCAAGACCTTAGATCCCAAATATGTGCCTATATCTGAATTTATATCGAAAATGTGGCCCATGTGTGCCCTTGAGATATATTATTGAAATTCAGAAAAAATATTTTTTCTGGTGCCTTGGTGTTGAAAATGGTTATTATGGCCTCCATATACCGAATATACAAATTTTCTAACTTTCGGCTGAATTTATACGGAATATATCGGACAATATGTGTGTTGACCTAATTAAGTGCAGAGAGAGTATTTCTACTATAATAGTTGTCTGTGTTTGACATAAAGACGCATTCCTTAATCTTGTGAGAGTATTAAACTATCAGTTACATCCGAACTTAGTCTTCCACAATTGTTAAGTATTATATGATTAGTTACCATAAAAAAAAATCATTTCGTTCTCAAGAAGATTCAAGGGGACCTCATATAATTAAATCTCCGACGCACAGGTTGACTTAATACTGTATGGTATTTTAGAAAATATTATTAACAAATAATCTACTTTATATATTAAAGGTGGGCATTGCTTTTGCGATAATTTATATTATATACTTTTGGTTCGTCGATGTGTTAACTGCAAAAATAACAAACAAATTCACAACACATTTGCAAGCATGAATCGCAAAAATTCAAATTTCTATAACTTTTTAGTTTTTTATATTTACTTTTTTCTATAAAATATTTTAGCAAAGTTGTTGTTTTTGTTATTGAAGTTGTAGCTGTTGCTGCAAAACGTTTTTTCAGCCGACTTGTTATATAAATATTTAACTTGTTGTTATTTTTATGCTGCAACAACAACAACATCACATGTAGCGCCACAAAAGAGGAGAAAAACACAACATTTTCACATAATAAATGCAGCCGCAATACGAGGAATATATTGTACTGTTATAACAGTAAGTTAGACATGTCAGCAACACACACGAGCAGCGAACAACATGCAAATATCAACAAACACACAGACACACACGCACACTTGCGCACAAGCGAAAAAAATAAAACGGCAGCAAAAATATCAACTTTTTTTAATAAAACTGGAGATTTGCACGTATTGTTGTTGCAAGTGTGTTGCAGCGCAGCGCTGTCTCGTCGGATCTTTTTTGTGTTTTTGCATGTGTTTTGTAGTTGAAAATTAAAATTTTGTGCTGTTGCAACACACATAATGTTTTCTTTTCGTTTTTTGTTGTTGCAACTCGCTCGTTGACTACAACAAATATGGTGAAAGCGACAGATTTGCTTGTAAATATTTAATACTGAAAAACATGCAGCTGTAAAATATAGAAAACACATTCATAAATAACTGGTAAATGAGAAGAAGAGAGGGAATTTCGAAAGAGACAAGGCTGGAATGTCATAAGAATGAGTTGAACACCGAAATCCACGCGTTCGGCCGTTGAAACATTGCAACAAATAATACAAGGCGATAAATGATTTAACTGATGTAACTTGTTGCTGTCAACAATGTTGAAGAGAGCTAATAAAAAGTGTACGAACAAAAGTTTACGAGTATATAAGAGCACATGCCAGTTTTAGCCACTTTTGGCAATTTGCCAAACATAATTTTAGGCGCAGTGAGTGATTTACTCAACAAAAAAGCTCGAAATACATTTTAAACATGAAAAACTAGCAAAACCAACCATTGAATACAAATCAATGTCTTATTTCATACAAATCAGCAATGATCTTGTTGCCTCCGCAAATCGCAATTTCACAATTGCGGCAACGCCAGCGCTAGCGAACGCAAGGCAGCGACACATTTTATTGTTTCAATCCGCTTACTTATATGCACGAACATTGCATGTGTGTATGTACAATATGTGTGTGCAATCCATGCCACGAAGCGCTAAATCACCACATTTCGATTTTTATTTGCCCATAAATGTCTGTCCGAGCCCGGGCGCTGCACACCGCCTCCCCAGCTACCACCGCAACCGACCGACGAACGACCATAAATGACTTTTGTTGTGGTTGCCTTCAGCGCTGTTATTGTGGCGGCGCAGCGACGTCCTCGCTTTCACGGTCATTGTGCTCCGCGCTGTGGCTGCGCTTTCACCGCCAATATTGCCAATAAAATTCTTGTGGTTTCTGAAAAATATGTTTACTGCGACCAGCGCAACTCCTCTCGCAAGCGTCGCCTGTCAATTGCTGCCGCCTGTGTGAGTGTGTGTGTGTCTACAGTGGTTGTTGCCACAAATTATTCTTGTTGGCTGCGCAGTTGTGAGTGTGTTGCATGCACAGAACGGACCAACACCCAATCGGCGAATTGGCTTCATAAAATTTTCAAGAATCTCTGAAAGTAATGCATTTGTTTACATATATGCATATACTTGTATATATATATCATGAGTTATTGAGACAGGTTACAGAATGAAAATTGTATAGAGAAATTTAGTAGCTTCGCATATAAATTTGTTGAATATGGGTTCCATTCGATACGAATTATTTTAGAGCATTGGAAAATATATTACGAATTACAAAAATAAAATTGAAGGCAAGAAATTCAAAATTTCCAAAATCCAGTAGGTTTAAGTGCGCATTTATATACGTCATCTGCCATATTCTTCTTGATAACTGTAGATCGCACTTTGTAGAAGAATATAAACTTCAGGCACAACTTCATCTATTTTTCACTACATATACATTGTTGCAGAAGGTGAATTTTTATCTAATTCTATCTATAATTTATTTTACCAATAGGATTAAAGATGTTGATGAGCGACCTAGTACTTTTATACTAGTACTTTTGAAAAAAGATAAGGGTATAAATACTGATATCAAACCACCTAACAAGGCTGGCCTTTGTTGTAGACATTATGTACATGTATTGAAAAAAAGTTCTTAGGAAAGATTCTTGAGTATAAAAAAAAATGGTATTGCACGTGCTGACTTGTGGCACAATAGTTAAAAAATTACTAAGCTCTTAAAATCTAACCTAAGAGAGATTGTTTTAATTTTTTTAGAAAGATATTGTGATATAATTTTTTTTTTTGATATACGAGGGGTGAATCAACGGAGAGTGAACTTCACTCGCAAACCCTAAATATAGAAAGGGCGCTAGAGCATAAGGTACGTATTCTGGACGTCTTTTTTGACATAAATAGAGCATTAAAAAATGTCTCCAATAACGCAATCGTTAACAGTCTCTAAGCAGCCCGGATTGAGTTTGCCATTATAGCACTAAGGAAAGCTCTACTGAGCTGCAATAGGATTGATAATGGAACGAAACCAGATTGCTCTTATTTGCGCAAACAGCAACTAATCAAGAGGATGTACCTATCCTTATAACCTATGGTCACTTGAAGCTTATGAGCTTCTGAAAAAATTTGAGAGGAAATCACCCAAACTGATAGCATATGCTGACAACATAGCGGGGAAGTTCCTAGACACAATCAGTTACGTGATTAATAACGCTAGTGTAAGTGTAAGTCTCATAGGAAAGCTCGTATGCGTTTTACTCACACGGTCTCGAAAGGACTGTCGGACGGTTGTTAGCCTTTTGACAGGACACAGCCTACTGGAATCACATGCGAGCCGGAAGAGCATAAGTAACGACGCTACATGCAGAAAGCGCAGAGAAGTAGGCATGAGATAGACGCTGGAAAATTTTTATGTCCCTGCCCAGCACTATCTAGAACTCGTCTTAAATATTTAGGAACTTTGCAAAGTTCAAAGGACTAGACGAAGTATTTAACTTGGATATAAAGCCGCTCTTAAAGTTCTTAAAATTCGAAAAAAGCGTTGACGTTCTATATGACGAATACTTCACCTCAAATTAAACAGAACCTCCATCTGGCATTACTTAGGTTCAGTAGGTCTATGTACAACCTACATATTCTTGTATGGCGTGACAACCGGCCAATATGACCTAACCCAAGTTATTGTATATGAGACCGCAATATGCGTGGCACGTAGCCCCGTCTTGTTAAAATCAGATGTTGTCAAGATCAACTTCTTCCAATTGCGGCCATAAAAAGTTGGTTACACGCTCTACATTTATTTCGAAAAATGTACGGACCGATGATTCTACCAGACCAGAAACCACACCAAACTCAATTCAGGTGAATGTAGTGGTTGTTCATGAATAATTTGTGGATTTTATTCGCACCAGAATCGACAGTTTTGTTTATTTACGGATGCAAACCCAAATCCTTTCCCAAAACTCGCTAGGTTGTGGTTTGAGACAGTCCCTATTCTTGAGCACGTCTTGGAATCAACAAATTGCGGACTTCACCAACACTTGGCTGAACAGCAGCAATATTTTCATTATTTCGAGCGGTTCTTTGTCTTTCTGGCACTTGAATATTATGTAAAGAAAATGCGCGCTCGAAATTTTCAATTTTAATAATTCGACGAATATCGAGGACGATTATTACGACCATAAAATGGCAAAAGCGCACGAAAAGTTGCAATTGGAGAACGATTATTTTGATAATAAAACTGATTAATTTGTAAACGTTGCTTATATTTTTTCATGATAAAATTGTAAACATTACTGAATACAATGAAAAAAAATTACAGATCATGACATATTAAATATAGCCGAAACGATACTTAGAAATCATATTATCCCTATTGGAAAATGCGATATATGCAAAATAAAAAATCGATTTATTGAAATTCACAATTGGATGACCCCTCAAGCGTTCAGTGTTGCATGGCTTTGGTACATTTAGAAATCCTGCTTTCTAGTGATCTTCAAAAATTTTCTCTAATTTTTTAACCATAATGATTTTCTCTCTTCACATTAATTTCTACCAAGTTTTTAAGGACCTTAGCACACTTTTAGGGTTCAAGAGTACAATGAAGTTAAATGTGCATTGAATAACTGCTAAAGTATGGTACAGTAATCGGTGTACTCAGTGAAGAAAAGCTTGTGTAAAATTATTTGTTCTATCTAACGCCGTTAAATTGTCTATTCTAATAAAGAACGAACTATTAACAACCAGCAAGTTATTTGATACACCAATTATTATTGCAATAAATTTTTAGTAGCATACTTTTCGGCTGTTAATAAAAGAAGGAATAATATGTGGTGTACTCTTGCCACTCTATGCACATATTTAAATTGTTTTTACATTGCGGTCCACTTACAACTCTTCCCATTTCCAAAGTCCCACGAAATTAAATAACAACAACAGTTTTACTCATTAATTTACATTTATAATGATAATATCGACTTTATTTGTAGTTTTTAAAAATTTTACAAAATAAACAAATATTTTAGTTTTATGTATGTAGTATGTATGTTAAGATTTGCTTCATATATATGCACGTATTTATGTATGTACTCACTTATAGTTTTATTTTTGGGTTTTTTACTCACAAATACATAGATTTTTACGTATATTCTACGAAGAAAGCAAATTAATTGTAAAAAAATCTAGCTCAGCGTTTGTTTTGCGCACAAATTATATACAAATAATATATAGGAGGTTTGTATGTATGTGTGTATATGGCTGCGAATTTTTGTAGCTAAATACTCATATTTAATTACATATGAATTACAATTAGGTGTACACGTACAAACTGCTTGTATTGTTTGCGAGCTGAGATGGCTCTATGCTTATGACCTAGTGTGTGGGGCTTAATAAATATATATATATGCGTGTGTGTGTATGTGAATGTATGCATGTATGTATGTGGTTAGGGAGGTACGATTACAAACACATCTACGCTTGTATGCATTTAGTTTAAGGCTTTTGTTTCATTAGTTATGTAAGTATGTGTATATATGTATATGTGTGTATGATGTGTATGAATTTTGTCTGCTTACATGTGTGTGGCTTTATTTGTAGATTTATTTTAGCTAAACCGCGAAATAGGTAGTACATGCACTTACATAGCGACTGCTTTGGGGGCATACTGTTTTCACTTTTTGTTGTTGTGGTTTTTTTTTTATAAGCTAACTGTAAATAGATATCTGTCATTTGAAAAGTATGTGTTCACTGTCATTTCGCTTTCGCTTGTCAGTGTGTGTGTGTGCTTGTAATCAGTTAATCTATGCTTACTCACACATACATACATATGTACATAAATATGTTGTTCTGCGTAATTGTTACACAAAAATCAGTGTGTATATGTGTGATATCTGCATATTATTTATGACTAAATATGTATGTACGTATATTTTCATATTAATTTCTCTGCATATGCAAGACTGCACTTGTATGTATGTATGTGTGTGTGTCGGTTTTTAATTTCCTATGCGGGAATATGATTAAGCTCCCATAAAATACCGTCATCATAGATTTTAATTCATTTATTTTTGCCTAAAATATTTACGTTATCGCAATTTAATATTATATTTTTTGCATTTTTCTCACCTTTCTCTTTGAAATTAATTTTGTGATTTTTTCTTTTAGCTTTTCATATATGTTTTTCTTATTTTATTAATTTAATATTATCTTTAGTTTTCAATTGTTAATTGTATTTGCTTTTTGTTTTGTGGATTGATTATAATTATTTGAAATTAATTTAAAGTACTGCTTGGCATTTCACTTACAAATACATACAACAGGGTGTCCTCTAAACTACAAGTATATACTCGCATGTATGTATGTATTTGCATTTGTATTTGTATTTTGATGCTCTAACATCTCTTTAGCGGTTTTTGTGTTTGTAAAAAATAGAAAATATTTTCAGTGCAGTATTGAAAAACGTGTGTGAAGATTGAAAATTGCTCAACATTTGGAGATCAGTTGCATATTTTAACTGTTTTTTTTAGCGATTTTTGAGTTTACACTTTTGTTGTTGGTTAATTTTATTTCCTTCTTAATTTTTGTTTGTTTTTTTTCTTTATCTATGTTTTGTTTTTCGGTGTATTGGCATTTCAAGCAACATCGAGTCACTAACACCCTGTACATATTCATATTCGCTCGTTCTAAATTTATCTTCGCCTTTTGCCTTTTTGCTTCAGAATTTTCTTGCTTAGGCGATAAATTTATCTAGATATTTGTTGTTATTCTTTATCTTTAATATATTTATCTTCTTTTTTGCTTTTTCTTTCTATTAATTATTTATATAATTCAAATATTTTGGTGGTTTCAAACTGTTCACATTTCAGATTTTGTATATGTTTTGCGAATGCTTTCGCTTAATTTAAAATGGTAAATTTTCGAAAAAATATTTGTGAGAGATTATCATTGAAACAAGCAAAATGGTAAATAAATTGAAAGCATATAATTTTAAATTGAAAATATTATCGTTAACTGTGCAACCCTTCAGAAAAACCTTCAAATAATTTTTCAGAGGTCGCGTTGTAGAACGGCTGCTGGATCAAGAGATCCAAAATTACTCAGTATGAATCATCGATTGTTAAAGTACATTAAATTGAGTTAATAAACTTTTTCTGTTTGGTTATTAAATAAAAATGACTCCTCAAAAAACAAAAGAAAAACTTACAAAAATGCGTTTTTTACAACTTACAAGTGAATATAAGCTCTTAAGCAAATTATATTGATTTTAGTATAAGCTATGCTTAAATTTAAGCATAATTAATATTTTTTTTAAATATGTATACTCCTTTTTGGCTGCTTGTTCAAAATTATCTTTTTAATGCTTTTATATATTTTATATAGATAATTTTTAAGTATTTACACTAAGGAAATGAAATTAAATGTACGGTAAGAATATAAAAGCAAAAAAATTTAAATAAAAATCCGTTAAACTTGTTGAAAATTTTTTTATACAATACCTTTGTATGGTATATAGCGATTAGACAGATTTATTTTTAAAACACAGGGTCTGCTGTTTTTTTTATAGTTTTAGTGTATGTCAACTTGTAATAAAAAAAAATATAATAATAATAATAACTAAATATTTTATGTAATAAATAAATGTAAATTTTATAAATCTTTAATTTACTCAAAATAAAACTGATTAGATTTTATAACAGAATATTTCTCATATACTATTCTAAGTAAAAGAAAAATCTAAAAAATAATATAACTATTGAAATTTATATATTTCTTAAAAAAAAAAAAACTAAACTACAATTTTGTTTTTAAATTTTCATGCATAAAAATTTGCTTTCATCTTTATAAAAATATTAGGCAAACTTACCCTTTAAAATTTTACAAACAAATACATACATACAAAAGAAAAGTATTACAAAAATGTCACACTTTTAAATGTCTAATATTACATTTTAAAATTAATTACGCATACATGTTACTTAGTTGCTTACGAGTAAAATAGCAAAAAGCTTAAAAATTCTCTATGTTTGTATGTATGTATGTATGCATGGCCGCAAGCAATTTTTATTTTATTTTTGTTATTATTATATATAATAGTTTCACTTCATCATAGATAATATCAGCAGCGCTTACTTGGCGTTTAGTTGCTTCTCATTTTGCTATTTGCAGTTGTGTGACAACATTTGCACTAAAGTACACAAAAACGACGACACAGAGTTGCCAAACTTAATCTTTATTACTAAATGTTAATACTTCAATGTGCGATTGTTGAATTCAATTGAGTATATTTGTGTGTGTATATATCTATATTAAACATATAGCTCTCTATATGTACATACATACATATGTTAAGAGTGCATTAGCACATACATATATTAATATTTTGTATAATTTATTTTTGTTTGCTTAGTATTTTTTTTAATATTATTATATTTTGCATAATTTTCGCTAACAATAAATTAGTTTAAATTTTTACTAAGTACATCATTTACTTACCAATATGCATTGTATTTTACTATTTTATTACGTACTAGAGGTGAATATTGAAATAACATTTTGCTTGGCTGTGTGTGAGCGATACTCTCTTTTCCTGCTTGTGTATAAGTGAGCATCTGCCTCACACATCAGCCTATAATCTTTCATATACACTCTCTGGTTTTGCTCTCTTCTCATTTCACTGCTTAACAGTCAATTTGACATTGACTGTCAGTTTGACGGTGACAATATTATTTTTTAGTATATTTTTTTATTAATAATTTTTTTATTATAATTAGCTTAAGAGTATGAGTATGTATAAGATAAAAATTACTTTACTATTTACAATTGAGGTTCTGTCTTTTTCGCATCGATCATATAAACGATCCATTAATCAGCGCATATGCATTAATTTCATTTTTGTTTTTTACATTAAATTTTCTTACGCAAGCAAAATTTTCAAAAAAAAAAAACACAAAATACTCTTAATTAATTACAAAACTTTTACAAATTTAACTTAATATAATATTTACGTAAATTTTATGATCACTTTCAATTAAAAATAGCTCATTGCCAACCATAAGCTAATACTTCTATATGTTATAAATAAGAAATCAGTTCATCACAAATCTAAGCTTATCATAAATGTAGTTTAAATAAACACTTATGTTTTTATTTACTAATAATTTTTTAGCTTAAACTTAAACCTCCGCTCACATTTCAAATTTCTACACTTTGATTTCTTTCTTTCTCCGTTTCTAGAGATCTCTATCCATATATCCATCTCTCTCTGTATTTCTATCTCTCCGTCTACTTATATCTCTTTTCTTCTTTAGTTTTACAGTTATAAAAGTAATCTGATTGCATAATACCAACTTTAGCCCCGATAATTAGGCATTTTGTAAAATTCCAACTCATATTCCTCCCCTCTCCGGATTTTTATGCAGCGTTTAGGCCCAAAAGCTTTTGTTGAGTTTCACCAGAATGAGTGTCACAACTGAGAGCGTGGTGAGGCTCAAGCGCAGTTTGTGTGTGGCACCGCTGCCATAGAAAGTGACACTCAGGTCGCGCATTTCATTGTCTGTAATGGAGAAAAAAAAAACAATAAATTTGAAGATAAGTGGCGGATTAAGTATAATATTATTATAATATACTCAAGTAATTATGGTATTTTAAGAGTTAAAAGATTTCCGCGTAATTATTTAAGATTTTTTAAATAAACGTAAAAAGATCATGCAAATTGAAAAATGAAAAAATTTTTTTTTACTCAGTAACTTAATTTTTTTTATACTTTCTGTTATGAAAAGCGGACTGCTTTTGCATCTGTAGTTGAATTTTTCCTAGAGTGGAATGTTTTTTGCATACGTAAAATAACGTTTATCGTTCCCTAATTTTTTTTTTTTTGTACATCCATTACTTAGATCAATTTAATTAACAAATTAGTAAAAAAAATTGCTTTAAATTTTGAAGTTAAAAATACAGGTTGGCGTAAACTTAAAATAGGAAACAGTTTTAGTTTTAGTATAATTTGGTTGCCAAATATCCCCAATATCGATAAATATGTTTCTTTCTCTTAAACAAAAAAGAAAAAAATATTTAACCCAATTTTTTATTTATTCATTTCGTTTCATTCATTTCACGTCTCAATCATTGAACTTACCTATATAAATTTTATAATTTCATAAGAAATTACTTAGACACATTTATTTCGATTTATGGAAGGAAGCACATAACTTAAAAGTACTAATTTAACTATTTTACTTAAGCAATTAGAGTTAAAATGTATTAAGAAGCGGGAAAACATGCATAAACAAAAAAAGAATTAATCAAATGCATGCAAATGAAGGAAAAGTTAAAGCCGCAATAATTTTAAATACTTATTTTAAAAGTTAAAGCAAAATCTGAATTTTAGATTTGTGTAATTTTCTGAAAAAAATTCATATTTGGTCAAAAAAAAAAAAAATGTTTCTAAAATTTTGAATTTCCTTTTTCGAATCAAGTTTTGAATTTGAAATTTGAAACTTTTATTATTTTTATTATTAAAAATTCAATGTTATTAGAATTGAATGAAGTGAGTGAGTAAACGGTGCAGTTGTTAAGAAAACTTTTCGAGAGTGAAACTAACCTGACGAACCGTGATTTAGAAAAGATGATAGATCAATAAGTCCATCTGAAATAAGGGGACAAATTGCGTGAAATCAGTGAAGATGAACAAAGCAAAATATGAAAGAGAGGAATAAAAGGAAGCAATGAAATATAACATTTATACTACTACAGTGTGTGTGTGTAAGTAATAAGTGGTGTAGGTAAATAGGTACTTACATACATATTAGGAACATAGTGAGTTACATTTTGAAACAAAATACGCTATGACAACAACACATACAAGTACATATATATTTTCTTTCATAATAATTTTATTACATTCTTTTGTGCACTTCTATTTTATTTATTACATAAACTCAGCTCAGTCTTATGAGTAAAAGTGTTAATGATTCCGGGAAGCATAAACATTTGTGCGCCTAACAGGGTTTCAAGCGAAAGTGCGCGTGTGCGTGCATGTGAGGATTTGTGTGTAGAATACCAAGGCAGGTGAAAGATATATGCTAACATAGTTTATATGAAATCTATTTATGTAAGCGTCTACTTTGAGTTAGCTCCCCTTATACACGTGTAAGACGCCCACCTACAACACACACACACACATACCTAACGACCATTCAGTAGTGTGAGATAAGCATATATACACTTACACACATGCAACTCTGCAAAGATGTAAGCACTCGAGTATAAAAGTGTTTGCAGGCATTTTCTTTACACGAACGAATACTCGCAAGAATCATTCACGCATTTCTTAGTTGGAAGTGTGCAATCTTGACTTTGATTCCTCAATAGATAAGCGCCTTGCGCTACATAGTAATATAGTGGTTATGAAAAGATATCAAGTGCTAAGTGCGAGTTTCTTCAGCATGTTGCTAAAACCGGTTAAGAGTGTTGCAGTGCTTAGAAGGTGTGAAATGCAGGTTTTATGGAGTAGGAAAGTAAATGAGTGCAAGAAAAACAAGAAAAAAGATAGATCGCTCTAATAATTTTATAACCAACTGATGAAAGCTTCTTGCTAGTGTTTTGAAATTTAAAATCGTGTATCATAAAAGTGCTCTTTTTGCACACAGTTGAAGGCAAGTGGCGACGAGTGTGAAGTGGAAGCCTTACTTTCGTATTTTAACCCCTTAAATGATCTAACGGCAGCTATAAACTTTAAAAGACATGAATCTTGAAGACTTTCCATTAAACATTTTGTGAGGCATCAAATCGTATACAGTTAATATAAATAAAACTAATTTTATGTTGTTAGAAAAGTAAATTAATCAAAAAAGTTCTTATAAAATAAATACCCTGTAGCAAAATAATTTTTTTGAGTTCGGTTAAAACTTTAAACCTTAAAAAATAACAGCTTGTCGACGCAGTGAACTATCAGGAGTAGTTTCTCGATAATGTTACCGTGCTAAATTATGCAAAAATAAAATTTTTATAAATGATAGAATTAAGTTCAATATCAGCTCCTTCATAAGCATATTTGCTTATTTATCCAGTCATATTCATACTTCATATTTACGATTGCTATTTATTTTTAAAAATAATTCATAGTCATTGTAAGACGCTAATTGCACTGTATTGTTGTTGTTGGTGTAATGTAAATTTTCTTGCTACGTAATGGTTTCTAGTTCCAAGAGCATAGTCCTTAAGTCTTTGCTCAGTTGCAGTGTCAGCATTGAAGAGACAGCAAGTATTAGGATGACCCAATTACGTCGCTGCAGAAGCGTAGTACACATTCGTATATTGTGCTGCAGTGTTGAGCAAAATATAAGCATCCCCTGTTGTAGTCATGATTTATTTATTTGTGAAAAAGCGAAATTTCTAATTTTGAGAGGCACGCCTAGTGTGACCGACTAAAACAAGGCTATTTTTTAGGAATTACAATATAATATATATCAATTGGTTTAAAATTATAAAGCTATATTTATAAATATTTTAAGAATTCACAGCAACATTTTTAAAGAATAATATTAAATATATGATGAATAAAACTTAAAAAACAAAACATTTTATATCCGAACAATGACATACGGTCGAAAAAGAACAAAAATTGACAAAATGGTGGCGTTAAAAAAAGTTGAATTTTACCCAAGATTCTCATCGTTTTACTCTACCAGAGATCAAATATATATATAGTTTTTTTAAATGGTAGGTATGGGGAACCTAACATTTGTTACTGATCAAAGCAGGATTAATACCCCTCAAGCAAATTTCAAAAATGAAGTTTCGAGCGGCTATACTATAGAATGCTGTAACTCAAAACAGTTTGAGGTCTCGCTTTAAAAATTTTAGTATGTTAATTTCGAAGATATAGAATATCTCTTAATGAGTTTTACAAAATTTGTATGGACCTCAAGATCTTGCTAATTTAATTACTTATTTTAGAATCTAGTCTTACTTAAAGTCGCGAGTTTTTAAATTAAAAATTGTGGATCAAAAAATGCAAGTAAGATTTTTCAATTTACAAATTTTAACGTAAAACTCCAATATCAGGATTAAAAATAAAATTTTTAATTGCAGCACGAAACTTATATTTTTAAAAACTTGGAATTAACATATTTTTATTTTTCAATTTGATATTAAGGATTACAATTTTCCTTTTATTGCGATTTTTGCGATTAAATATTTATTTTTAATTTTTCAAAAACGAAATTTGGGGCTAAAAATTCAAAACTTATATTTCATTAAAATCGTTGAGATTACAAAATACAAAAAACAAAATTAATTAAAATTTTAATTCAATTGTATTTTAATGCATTTTTGGCAAACCTGATCACTAACAAATATATATAATATATTATATAATAGTGAGCGCTGCTTATGTTTCGTGCAATATTGCATATTGCTATACCATATAACCGTAAATGGAACAGTGAACGAGCACAGTGTCAACTTGGCAAAGAACAAGCAAGGCGGTCATTATGCCACACAGACATAGTCAAATGACAGCTGCAAAGTGAGTGAAGTGTGTGGGCAAATCAGTGGACGGCTCTTCTTTTCAATGAACGTCTGACAAGTGATCACACGCGAGAGATAAGTTTGTGTCTGCAAATGTGAAGAGACTGAAATCGTATTGCTACAAACGGCATTTGCACGCTACGCACCCACACGCACACAGGCGAACTGCGATACCGGCAATTGAGGACCTTCAAGTGGCTGCGTGTGCACTTGTGTTTCAATGTACGAGTATGCGTGTGTATATATGTATATACATAGCAATGAATGTTGCAATCTCTAACAATTTATCGCGTTTGACAGCGACGTCATCATCAGCATACAAAAAGATATAGAAACACAGATAGCCACACATGTTTGTAACCGTGTAGTGGCGCCATTGATGCCCCAGTTGTACACGCAACAGTCAAGCGCACTCACACTCACCGAGTATTTAGTACAGTTATTTATTTATGCAAAAAAAAGTGTCACGAATGTTGTCAACTGTGCGCTTCTTATCCTGGTTTCTTATCTTCTTCATTTCGATTTCAGAGCAGCTTCGCGTAAGATGCATTTGCCACTAATAAGTTTTGTTGGCAGAAAGATTGCTCCACATGCAATCACAAGTACAAGTGTGTGTGCATATGTGGTATGTGTCAGGGTCATAAATAGTGAATGATTACTCGACACACTGCCAAACATACATACATGCGTGTATATAAACATAATGCAAGGTTTAAAGCTGCTGTGAACGGAACGCTATTTGAGCCAATGCCACGCTGTGACAGCCAGTGAAAATATCAACATAAATTAAGCAACAAAAAAAAAAACACTTAATGATAAATGCTCATTTGTCATTATTGACAAGGTTGATTTTAATTGGAAGCTTACCGTGGCCAATTACCATCAACTTTGGAGAGCAAGTGATTTATTCGAAAATGGCGCTGAAATTTGGCAAAAGAAATGCGCTTTTTCCATAAGCGTGACGCACGCTTGAGAGATATATATTTATTATGTAAAGTTAAATTATGTATGCTTAAACATTACCAA